TGGTCAGGAAGGATATGTCATGTTCATGGCACTAGAGCTCACCCGCATAACACCATGCATACTTAGGTTTGGTAGTAGTTTAAATCCTCGAAGGGAGGATATGGGTGTCTTTTACTCAGCTGCAAGAGACCCAATTTTCTATGTACACCACAGCAATATAGACTGCTTACACTATCTACCATGGCTTAATGCACGTCCCAAGCCTTCAATTCCACCCAAGCTTGCTCGTCAAATTCTCACCAACATGTCAACCAACCACTATCCATCGATTATAGACTTCACCCCATACGGTAAACCACTAAACAACAACTTAACATTGAAAGTTAAAAGACCTAAACTCTTTAGAACCAAAAAAGAGAAAGAAGCGGAAGAAGAGGTGATTGTTGTTTATGGAATCAATGTCAAACAAGATGAATATGTGAAATTTGATGTGTACGTGAATACAATTGATCATACAGTGGCTAGTCCACAATTTAGGGAATTCGCAGGAACATTTGTCCATGTTCCTCATGGTATATCATTTCATAAGCGAGAGAGTTATGAAATGAGAAAGAAGAAATACACTCTTAAATTAGGAATATCAGAAGTATTAGAGGATTTGGAGGCAGATATAGATGAAAGCATTTGGATCACATTATTACCAAGAACTAAAACTTGTATCAATGTGACCATTGATGGCGTTCTAATTGAGTACATGAAATAATATGATTTTTAAGTATAGTATAGTGATGTCTCTTAAAAAGTAAATATATAATATTTTTCTATTTTATGACAAAAGTATTTTTATATTTTACTAAAGAATAAAACTCCGATTGAGGCATAAATATATATTTTATTCTTTATTTTTTGAATTAACATATGTTTTTATGCATGTGAGATAAACAAAATAGTTCAAATAATTTATTCTTTTAGAAAAGATTAGGTTTTTTTTTTTTAATTTTCTATTTTATCATCATTTTTATGGGTGTTTTCTTTGTTGTTAGTTAACTTGTAAGATCTTGTGAATAAAGATATATAAATTTATAAAAATAAATATTTGTATGCATGATCATACATCCCACACTATAATTTCATTGAAAAAGTTTTATCTCCAAGCATCAAACCAACAGCTTGTCAAATTTTGCATTAGAATGTGAAAAATTGAGTTTGAATGTAGGAAAGCTATTATACATCTCGAACTTCGTAAAAGAAAATGATTAATTCAGAGGCCAAACACATTGTGATTTTAAATGTTATTGTGTCTGCAGCAAAACATGAGAGATAGAACTGGAGAACAACTGAAATATCATATAATTAAAATAATAACTCAGAAGTACATAATTTTAGATCCCTGAGTAATGATTTCAAAGTTTGGCAGAATGATATATTGGAAAATAAACCAACAGCTTGTCAAATTTTACATTAGAATGTGAAAAATTGAGTTTGAATGTAGGAAAGATATTATACATCTCGAACCTGGTAAAAGAAAATGATTAATCCAGAGGCCAAACACATTGTGATTTTAAATGTTATTGTGCCTGTAGTAAAACATGAGAGATAGAACTGGAGAACAATTGAAATATCATATAATTAAAATAATAATTTCGAAGTACATAATTTTAGATCCCTGAGTAATGATTTTAAAGGTTGGCAGAAGGATATATTAAAAAATTTGCCTAAGAAAACTGTAAAAGTAACAAGCAGTCTACATTGGTTGGTTATGTATGATCAAAATTAATCAAGGAGAAATTAGAAATCAGACATGTAAATTGTGGAAATCACTAAGACATAATAAATAAAAAATCAAGGAGGAGGGAGAAGGAGGAAGAACGAGCTGACATTTTTATCCAACCAATAGAAGAAAGAGGATATTAGAGAATTTTTCAAAATGAGTGTCCCCTTTGATGAGAAACCAACCATTCCATATTCTCATGGATGGTTCAATATAACTAGATATTTAAAAATATATATATATATATATATATATATCAGTTGCAAGAATTTATTGTACTTATTATTAAATATTTTATAATCAAATACACGATTAAACGTTAATCATGGAGAGATAAGTCATTAAATACCTTTAATAATTAAGATTTTTACATTATACTTAAAAGATAACATTAAATATTTATTAATTAATTTGAGCAGAATTATAATAAAATTAAAAATGTATTAACTAAAAATTCTATCACAAGAGTTGTACTAAAAGATAGTTAGAGGTTAAGGAAATAAAAAAAAAGTAGAAAGTAAATAAAAGTTGTTGCAGTAGCACCAGGTTAATCCTTTTCTTTCAGCAAGGTCCTGATGGCACGTTACCATGATTATATGCAGAAACATGAGTTTGAGATATCAAATTCTGATTGGCAAAGAAAAAGAAAAAGAAATTCATAGTGACGTTTGTATGGTTATCAGGCGAGGACAGTGGCTAGAATTGTAGAAGGAGATGCGGGTAAGGTAACTTGCAAGGAAGCGGAGAGGGTAAAGCCAGCGGCTGTCGTGATGGGCACTAGAGGGAGAAGCTTACTACAGAGGTTCTCTCTCCGGCATGGTAATTAGCTACTCACTCATCAAACTTTTTAACAATTGCTTTTCAATCTTTTGGCAGTGTACTGCAGGGAAGCGTGAACGAGTATTGCTTCCACAACTGCAAGTCTGCTACTGTTATTATTGTTCCAGGCAAGGGTACTACTCTATTGTGTCCATTGTTTCTTGGGCTAATCAGGGTGTTAATAATGAACTTTTTTTTTTTTTTTTACCGGCAGATGAGTCCTTGATTTAAAGGAATTAACAAAATAAAGGATGAGAAGCTGCGGTTTGATGATGAAATGTGTTAATGCTTTATTGTATTTGTATCGCTGTGGATTTGTCGGTAATGTTTTCATTTATAGCTAAAGGAAGTTTGTTAATG